GCCATGTGACGAGCACTGTCCCAGTGCCACATCCTTGCTGTGCTCCAGTCCCTGCTAAAGAACATCCTGTGCTTTCCTCTGCTGTCCAAACCCAGGCAGCCAGGTCCCCCCTATCCGGCCAAGCTTCCCATCACATCTGTGGCAGCCATCTACATCCCTTCATCCAGATGTGCAGCCACAGCAGCACAGCTGTACCACCCTCCCTTGCACGCTGACTGTGAAGCATCCTGCCCACCTCCTCTTCTCAAACCTGGGGCTCCAACACAAAGTGTTGAGAGTAATTTGGAGGTCAGAAGCAGCCCAGGTGCAAACACCTCCTGCACCATGGTAGGCACAGACTGGGAGGGCTCAGAATCTGAACTCACACTGTGGTTTTGCCGATGTTATTTCTACAGTGAGACAAAACTCAAGGCCTGTTCCTGGTCCAAAGTAGCCAACAGTCATCCCAAAATCTGAGGAAGAGGTGGTTTGTGGCAAAGAGCACTACTAAAACATTCTGGAAACATTAAAGTGAACAATCCATCCTTCAATTTGCCTGCCAGCCTTAGTCCCAGAAGCTAACACTTCCTAAATCACCTTTCCCCACCCTATGAAGTGACCAAGTGCAAGTGTATCCCTAAATCCACACTGCTAAATAATTACAACTTTCAGGAAATTTTCTGCTCTTCCAAAGTTTGATGAGTGACTCGAGGATTAGCAACATCCAGATTTTCTCCTCCACTCCTCCCGTTTCATAACTCCAAGTAACATTGCTCTGAATGACATCAGCCAAACTTGTTACCTAAACTCTGGGACCTCACCCAGGCCCATAGCAGGCAATAGGAGCTTTTCCATCAGCTCAGTATCACATTCTGCCCTTCCAGTTGACCATCTTCAACTCCTTCCCTTCTTACTTGCTGTGCCACATCTTTAAAACAGGCAAGCAAGTTTTTGAGGCAGAAATGGCACGTTTGTGCATGTGTTTAAAGCACCTATTCCCCCCTATTCCCACCCTCCCAAAAAAAGTCTCCACTGATAAGAAAAACCTCCATGCAGCACCAGAAAGCAAATAAATAATCACCACATTCTTCCTACCATTTCTCATCTTGAGAAATACTTCCTTTTGCCTGGCTCTGAGGATGCATCAGTCAGCTCCTGCTGACCTTTAGCAGGTACTTCATTTATCCTCAGCAGCAATCCCTTGCAGAGCACCAACACGCACAGCAATGCAGCTTTAGTTCTGAGGTTCCTCGTGAGTTAGTTGAGGGGTTTGATTCACACCCTGCTTAAATGTAATAGCATTGATTTTCACAGCCTGGAGTTGGTGGCTCCCCGGCACAGGGAGGGCACGGTGCCTGCCTTGAGGCAGATACCAGGTGAGGAGTGACCTTCCTGTGCTGTGCTCCCCATTAGTTGTTCTCCCCTCTAAGAGTCCACCAGCATCCCACAAAAATCAGGGGAATCAGGGACACAGCTGATTCCCCATCACCACCACCTTGTGCTACATACATATCCAGAAAGCATCCATGCACTTTTAGCTTTTAAGCCTAGCAGCTCTTTAGCTGAAAGCCATTCCCACCCAAATCCAGGAGATTGTGTTGCTTTTGCCCTCCAAGAGGCTGCTTTCAGCCCTCTGACATGTCTCCCCTATCACTGTCAGTGCAGGAGAGATGGGAATGAGCTCCACTCACACCATGAGCAGCCGCTTGGGAAAAGCTCAGCCATTGAGATCAGGCTCTCAGTGCATTCATGACAGTGTATTTGCATTTTGTATGGAGATTTAAAAGCAAGTGACAGAATGGTACATCCAGTTTTTGGACACTTACTAGGCCCTAATCATGGCAACACTGGTATTCACTCTGTATGTAAAGGAACAGGGAAATTTAACAGATGCAAGTAGGGAGCACTCGTGTGTTCTCTAAAAAAGAAAGTTAGTCAATGACACTAGAAGAAAAGCTTTAAGCAGTCGCTGTTTGCCAGAGTCCCAGCTCCAACAATATTGCCATCTAATTTACAGTATTTTAAACAACCCTCAGTTTTTGTTTCCTTTTTAAACAACGCCACTAACCGCTGTACAGTTAAAATCTAGAGGATAAAATATGACTTGGGGGATAGGGCAGGATCAAGGGTTGGTTTGGTCTTGGGGGGGGGTGTGTGTTTTTGGTTGGTTGGTTGTCTTTTTTGTACAAATAATTACAAATACAATTCCAAGAAGATATATTACATTTTATATACAGAACACACCATTGCTATCAGGGTAGGGTATTAAGCCTAGCTTTTCTTTTTACACGGCAACCCTGAGATGTCTTTGTCGTCTTCCCTTGCACAGAAACTATACAAGTTCATTAACTCCTTCTAGAAAAACCAAAATGGATTGCTATGATTTAATAGCACCATCACCCTGTATAAATATTCCGAAAGGGAAAAGCTTTGTCTTTTCCCTAACTCCAATGTTTTGATTCTTTATTTTTTCCGTTTCCCTGCTTAGTGGAAACTGATAATGGTGACTTTTTTCAAGTGTGCACCTCACTCGTCTACTTGCCTTTTGGTAGTACAGTGAACATCTCCCCTTTCTCTTTTTGTCCTCCTTTTCAAACAAATTTATATCAGGAACTAATATGAAGCCTTTCCTGAAAACCCACTGTTAATTCATGAGCTACTTCTCAAACTAAAGGATGAAGACGTAAGTGTTAGATTGGCTGGATATCAAGTAGCTTTTGATGAGTCATGGGTAGTGCTTTCTCCACCCCACCACTTCTTCATAAGAAAAATATTTCAGATTAGCATCATCAAGCTTTTAACAACAGTGAACTCTGTGGATCTTGATGGAGATCAGGACACTGAATGCACTTCACCATATTACCTGAAATTCGGATGTACTATCCTTTTCTCTGTTCACCTGCAAGCTACAGCATACCCAGCATAAAGAGTATCTGAAGAGCAAATTCCTCTGCGTGGAGCCTTGGCACGGATTCCTGATATCCCTTCAACAAGCCCCATAACTTTTCCAAGCCAACTTTGGAATAGCTGGATCACTGCTTCTAAGCTTTATAGTTATGCATGGGAGTCGTCAGCGTTAGCTGTCCATTCGGTGCGACTTCATTCCCGTCATCTTCCAACAGCCCTGAAACATCAGCGTTGGGAATGCTGTCATGGTAGCTGCTAAAACTGATGTTGTCCTCTTTGAGTTCAATGGTCCAAAAAGGAGCGTTGAGTTTTCTGTTCTGATACTCACGGTACATGTAGACAGCACCCACAAAGCCCATTAGTAGGACCACAACAATGATAATAACTGTCAAGATAATGATGTTAAACTGAGTCCAGGACACATCTGCAAAAGCAGAAGTGGTGTTGTCAGAGGAACTCATGGGAAATAGCATCTGTATAGTTGTTGGTGACAATGTACTGTTTATCACTGCAGTTGAAAAGGATGTTGCCTTGGTGGCATTTGGAGCTGAAGTTGTGAACTCCCCTGTTTCTGGCCCAAGAGTGGCTTCTACAAAACAGATAAAAAGTGGTCAATAAAAACATGCAAAGCTGGTGTTAAACATAAAAGTAAGAGATTTTACATTTACATCACAGTTCTTATGGCAATAAAGTCTAACAAAACAGATAAAAAGTGGTCAATAAAAACATGCAAAGCTGGTGTTAAACATAAAAGTAAGAGATTTTACATTTACATCACAGTTCTTATGGCAATAAAGTCTAAACTGTTAAAGCTGGTATTTTCTCACAACAGTTTACAAAAGTAGCCAGGGTTGGGCTTGGTTCTTTTAAGTAAGTCTGTGTGTTAAGTGCTCACTGACTGCAGCATCCCCATGAAAAATCTGGGGATGGAGGGGTAGGTGCAGTAGCCAAGATTCAGTGTTAGCTACATCCACAAATCTCACAGTAACCCCCAGTCTGCATAACCAGAAGCAAAAAGTAACCAAATCATCCCCCCAAAAAGACTGTGGATGTTCTCATTAAACTTTTGAGTTTGGATCCCAGTTTGATTTCAGCTGCTGGCATTTGTCCACACATGAAGGATGAGAACATGGGAACTATCAGACTGCGCCACAAGCTCCGTCTTTCTCTGGAGCCTGTTACCAGGCACAAAATAGCCAAGAACCTGCCTTGCTTCCAGGATTGGGATAACTCCCTTCTCAGACCTAGGAGTAAGTGACATGTTAACACCGGACATCTCATAAGTGGAATGCAATTTCATTATGCCTTTTTCAAACCAGATGAGCCTTGGAAAGCATCATAAAAGCCTGAATATTAGGCTCCCAAATATAACTTATGAAGCATCTTTTCACAGGAATAATCTGATCTATTTTAGGTTCTCAAGTCTAGGAACCCTCCAGAAGCTGAAGTGTCAATCAGCCAAAATGCTCTCTACACCTATTGCTTCACAGGACTCTCTGCACCCTATTTCCCACTCTCTTCCATTTCTCTTTGTCCTATCAGGAATGCAACTTTATTTTAAACCCACTTACAGCTGCAGCAATTACAGCTGATGGTGCTGTTGTATTGATCCAGCTCTCCCAAAGAGAACGTCTACTAATTATGACTGAGGAGAGTCACTTCCAAAGGACTAATTTTGCACTAAGCTGCATCTCCAATGGCAACAAGAGCTGGAAATATTCAGCACATCTCTTACCACAGGCCCTCAGGGGAACTCCCACAAGTTAACTTTGGGCTGTCACGTTCCAAGCTCAGGCAATGGAGAAAGAAACTCCTATGAAGGGGGCATCACACATCTAATTTAGGCTCCTCTTCAGAGTCCCCTCCCTGCAACAGCTCCTCTATTCTCTGCAGGTCTTGCCTGAGGTTGATAAGGATATTCAGGATGCTGAATGCCACAAAGGCTTTTCTCTGTGGGATCACAGGCAGAATTTTGCAGTAGGAAGCAACGTGACAGGAGCAAGAGGTTCCTGGATACAGCTTTGGGAGAAGGGCACGAGGAATTCGGTCATCCTTTCCAAATTCCTGTATTAACACTCAATTCTTGGCAACCCCTGGCTTGGTAGCTATAATTAGAAATAAAACCCCCAGAACAGAGACAATGGCTGATTCACCAGCAAGGAAACAGGACTTTGCTGGGCTTTATTTGTGAGTCAGCATCAGCTCAGCGCTGGCAGGGGGACATGGGTGAAAACATTTCCTGGAACCGCCGGTAACGTCATGGTGAAACAGTGCCCTGCTCTGAGCATGGGCTGGCGCTTTGTGCTGTGACACAGCGATGCCTGTTCCTGCTCACCAGGGCTGTGCCAACCCTCCAGATGTCCACAAGCAGCTCCTTGAGAGCGGCAGATGTTCAGTCAATGGGCTGCTTTGGCAGCTTTGACGTGAGCGTCATATCCAGCTGCCTGATTGAAATGCAGTCCCTGCAAAGCTGCTGCTACCTCCCGCAGTGAATGAGTCCCAGCAGGAGCCAGGCCTGTGCCAGCAGCCCCTGTGCCAGCTCTCAGGGATGGCAGTGATGCTGGGCTGGGTGGCACGGGGCCACAGTCACAGCAGAAACACCAACCACCCAGGGGTCTAAAACACTGACTTGGGTCATCCCACACATCCTTTGGGTATTCTTTTCCATCAGCTTTGAAAGCATCAAAATCTTGGTCATGTTTAAGACTCTGAACACCTCCTGTAGATATTAGAGGTTGGGTTTAACTTTATGCTGGCTTGTTTAAACTGCAAGCACTTAAACAGAGACTTAAATCATCATCTGGGTGATGATTCTGCTCTAGAAGCCACTCAAAACTAGGCCACTCAATTGCACTAGTCGTTTATGAAAATCTTAACTTAAAAGTAGTTAACACACAGTACCTCAGCATGTCAATTTTTAGGCAAATTGTGTGTAAGAAACCAGAAGGAAACTCTGTGTCTCTTTAGTTGCTTAATAAGAAAGGGAAAAAAGGGCTATCAAAGAAAAAGGAAAGCTAGAAGAGTGTGTCCCAGCCCCTTTGAAAGGGGACAGTCCTTCCTACATCAGGAATTGGCTATAACAATGCTGTTAAAATCAAACTGAGTGGTGACAACTGCAAGCCTCCAAGCCAAGCCATACCCATGGCTTTTAATGCAGCAAGGTCATGCAGCTCTCTGCACAAAGAGCTGTGCAGGGGGAGGTAATGGATGAGCTGATGCGAAAGTGCCATTTCCAGCCCTGTAACGGTACAGTTCCAGCTAATGAGCATTCAACTTTTCTGTATTGATCATCTCTCTGAGCAGAGCAGGACGCTGTGATTACACCTCCAGAGAGCAGCATGGGAGTGAAAACCACATTAGCTCCTAACAGAAGATCTGAATTACACCTCTGCTGGTGACAAGGACAAATTCGGGCCCAGATATTTTCCTAAACTCTTCAGGTCTCTTATCTAATCCATAACACCAATCATGTTTCCATGCATGGAGCTGGAGATCCACCTTGTGGACCAACCTCCTGATACCCACTGAAGGAGCAACTTAAGAACCATTTTCTCTTGTTTTACTAAGAGTCCTCCCACTGTGCAGTAGCCTCTCGAAGTACCAGAGCTAGTTTGTGTCAAAGATGCTGCATGCAGTGTCTTGAATGTGGATCGAAGACTGACCAGAGACCCCCAGAGTGGATATGAGTAAATTCTGGGGTTCACTTGCTAATACCTAAATTTAGTCCAAATATTGTTTGCAGAGTATGAGAAGTGACAAGATTTACTATAAACACCCTTTTTAGGGAACTAGGCAGTGCTGTTGGATGGACTAGTTAATAAGGACAATTCACTGGGCGCTCAGATCATGTATATCAAGCAATGGACATCTGAAAACCTACATTTAAATACACGGCAAATAGAGCTGGGGTTTTTTCCAGCTTATTCACTAGAGGTGTCTGCTGCAGGGTGGGAATCAGGGTGGTTACAGAGCTAAATCTAAATGAGATTTCAAAGCCAGTAGGCACCGATATGGTCTGGTTTTCTTCCCTGTACCACAACTAGATGAATCTAAACCAATCTGAACAGTAGGTAACATTCATTGCAGCCTTTCAAGGGGCCTACAAGGATGCCAGAGAGGGACTCTGTATCAGGGACTGTAGCAATAGGACAAGGGGTGATAGGTTTAAACTGAAACTGGGGAAGCTGAGGTTAGATACAAGGAGGAAGTTCTTCCCTGTGAGGGTGCTGAGGCGCTGGCACAGGGTGCGTAGAGAAGTGGCGAATGCCCCATCCCTGGCAGCGTTCAAGGCCAGGTTGGACACAGAGGCTTGGAGCAACCTGCTCTAGTGGAAGGTGTCCCTGCCTGTGGCAAGGGGGTTGGAACTGGATGATCTTACAGTCCTTTCCAATCCAAACCATTCTTTGACATGGATTTGAGAAGCATGTTTTACCTTTCTTGGTGCAGTTGGTCCCGTCGGGGTCTCGGATGTAGCCATCCTCACACCGCTCGCAGTGGAACCCGGCGGTGTGGTACAGGCAGCCGATGCACTCCCCGCTGTCCGGCCGGCACACGCTGGGTGACTGCGCTGGGTCCACGTTCCCGTTGCACTTACACCTCACGCAGATGCTGTCGGAGTTGTAGTAGCCATTGTCACAGCGGTTGCAGTTCGGGCCAGTGTACCCAGTTTTGCACTTGTCACAACTTGGGGCACTTTCACCAGGCTCTGAAGAATACAGAAAACAAACAGGGGATGTGCCATAGCCCCTCAGAGAGAAACACCCGCGGTGGGGTTAGTTCTGAGGGACCTGACCACAAGCCACTGTGACAGAAATCAGCCACCGAGTATTAACCAATCTCAGATTTTAAGCTGAAAATACAACTTGTGAACTGCAGCAGTTTCTTTGTCCCTAAGGGTTAAAAAGAAGCTTTGGGGGGCTTCTGATGCCTTGTACCAGCATCACAGAGCACGCTCAGCATGGTGCTAAGCAAACAGATGATTACTCCTGAACATTTCCATCTCAAGCAGCCAATTTCAGAAAACAGCTGGAACTATATCAGGAATGTTAGGAATCTACAGGAACTTTTGGGGATATACAAAGCCAGAGGTGCCTTGATTGCAAAACTGATTAGGGAAATATCAAGAAAAGTCTTATATGTTTATTACAGTTATAACTTCTCTTGGATATGTGAAAATAGAGCAGGTAGATTGGGGAACCTCTGCTTGGAGTCCCACGGAGATGCTCAGAAGAGGGCTCACTGTGCTGTGGACAGCTACATGGCCCTGCTGGGCACCTCCTGTACCTCTCCTGGCTGCCACAATCCCAGCAGTTTCTCTTTGCAAAACTCTGCAGGTTCTTCAAGGCAGGTTGCAACCTGCAGCAATGAATTTTGATGCCTTCCACTGCTCTCACAAGAGGCAACACAAGCACCAGGGATGCATCATGCCAGGTGCTGCTGCCACGTGCCCTGGTTCCCACAAACAGGTTTATGGTATAAACCCCTTACTAGGCTGATGCACAGAGTGGCAACTTAATTGTAAAGAGCTACTTTCATTATCTGAAGAGTTAGACCAAAGGGAAAGCCTTACGTATGCGGCAGGTTCCGGTCGATGCCACTGTGGAGCACGGGCAGCGATGGCAGGAGTGGGCAGGATGGGTGCTTCTGTAGAATCCCTCCTTGCAGAGCTCACAGTGGTTTCCCTCGGTGTTCCCCTGGCAGTGCAGGCAGATGCCTGGGGAAGGGACAGGAGCACAAGCAACCATTGAGGAGCAGGAACTGGAGCGGAACATTCGGAGCATGAATCCGCATGGAGCACTCTCAATTATCTGAGCTCACAGGTGATTTTTGGATGCCCTCTGGCCAAAACATGATCTTGGCCTCTTATGACCTCACCCCCCCCCTCCATATGCACACACATAATGTGAAAAAGTAGGTAGCCCCAGCAGAGAGATGCCCACAGCTCATCACTGAAAGGTCAGCACAGGTAAACACGTGCTATCAATACTAAATGGTCCTCAAGGGAAGGGATTTCAGTTTGCATTTGTATCAGTGAGATGGAATCCTGATGCTTCAAACCCCCACTGCCATGAGAGGTCCCTCCAGTTTATTGCCTGTTTTTTTGTGCACAGCCTCTTCCTACACCACAGAGCTGGTGCTCAGGGTAAGGAAGTGCCACTATCCTGCTTTGGGGGCAGATGGCTCCATCCCATCCCCTGCAGCTCCTCCATCTCCATCACAGGTACAAGACAGCAGCAATTATTGACCTTCCCAGAGAACCAGAGGAGAACTGGGGGTCCGCATGGGCCACATCTCCTTCCTGGAGGATTCAGGGAAGCCCCTGAATCACAAAATCAACGTGCTGTGTCTTAGCAGAGGCTGTGTCCCAATGTCCCTCTAAATTGCATTTGTGGCCAGAGAAAGAAATACGTCCCTGGTTATAAAAACGCAGCCTCTATCAAAAGCCCATCCATCAACAGGAACATCCTGTAATTCAGCAGGCTCCTCGACAAGGTGGCAGTGACCTGGGGGAAGCTGAGATTATTAAATCCCATGTACAAAACTCTGAAAAGGCAACAGCCACCTTCTAACAAACCAGGGCAGCACAGAGTGGTTTATTCCCTGCATACAGAAGCTCAGATAGGAGATTCACTGAGCTCATCTGGCAGTGCTGTAAGGAAAAGTCTCATCAACATTAACCACACAAAACCCCCTGAATTAGGTTAATGCTGATTGTTAAAAAAGAAAACAAACCACACAGCAGATTCTCTTATTCATGTTGGAGCACTTTGGCTCCCTTGCAAGCCCAGCACGCTGCACGGCTCCTTCTCTTCCCACAGCGATGACTCTGCAGCTCAGCATCCCTGAGCATCCCCAGCATGTCCTTGGAGCCGAACCTCATGCCAAGGGCAGGAAGCAAACCCACTTTTGGGATGATTCACTGGCACAGTGGTGCTGGCAGCACCCTGATGACTAAGGACGCTCACAGACAGCTCCCACATGCTGTTTGCTCTTCACCCAGCAGCTTGTCAGCCACGAGCCAGTGGTTTTTGTGGGAGAGATGTCAGGGTTTGAGGGGAAATGATCTGCTGGGCTCGGATCCTCCACTTGCAAACCTCCATCAGCCGCTCCAGTGGGATGCCTGGGACAGACCAGCTTGGGGAAGGTTAATCTGCCCCGTCAGCAGCAAGAGTGCCTTGAACAATGCTCTGCAGGCTTTAATAGTGGCATAAATCTGGAGCCTGTACAGTGTTGGTCATTTCAGGACCAATGTCTTTCCCATCAGTGGGAATTACTCACATTTCTCTACACCAACCCTGTGATATGGCTGTGTTTCCAGTGAGTCAGCAAGTTGCTCAGCCGTGCAGAGCATGCATGGGCTTGCAATTGGGTATCACTGTGGAAAGCCTTAATAATTAATAGCACTTCCCATCCCAATAATGCCCTCAGGACGGATCAGACCTCCCAATACCCCAACTGGGAAGCAGCAACCAAACCCACTGCACTGACACAACACGGGGCACAAGGGTCGTGTGTCAAAGGAAGCGCTGTTGCCTCGGGAGCTGCCCGATTCCCAACCCAGTGGTATTAAATATTCCTCCTGGCCTGAGGAATGCCGAGTGTCGCCGG